ACACAACGACACACACACACATATATATATATATATATATATATATTCATATTTGTGCATACGGGTATATATATGTATGTATATGCCTTGTACATACCTGCATAGGTTTATCTGTATAGAGATAACCACATAGATGACTACGTAATTCATTGCATAGAGACAGGTACATTTAAGAACACAAACGACTGCAGACTACCATTTAAATACAAAACCATTGTGAGGAACATCATATAGAACCCGACTACAAGAAAAGACACGATTCATATATGTAAAGTCATGAATGTTGTTCTTGATTATGAACGTTTATACGATAAAATACACATGTTACTTTGGGACGTTAAGAAGCACAAAACTCACCCGGGTGTGGTCTTGGACGATGCAATTCTCGCACACATTCAATCGGTGATCAAAGCAGAACAGATTGGTCACTACCCTGCATTTGCACAGTCCCATCCCGCTACTTGTATGAAGAAGTTTTTATATAGTTATATATGTGCGTGTGTCTATTTTCTCGAGCTTGTAGCGATTGTTTATAATAATATAACTATTTACATAAATATAAATGTAAACATTCAGCACTAAGTAGGAGTGTGTGATTTGGAATCTCGTTGTCATGAGAAAGAATCAGATACTTGGCAGCTGAGATTTGTTTTTTATCAGAAAATTTTCACAATCCGCAAATACCGCCGTCAAAACCCTAAACCCTAAAAAATTACCTCAGTACGTTTTGCGTTTTAAACTTTCAATTGATGCGTTTAGTCGTTTACGTTCATTCAAAATACTGTCTCTCGAGAGAGTCTCTACTGCAGTACTTACTGCGTAATAGAAAGAGGTTGTTCTTTTCAAAGCCCTGTGGCTGTCTTGATGGCACAGCTTTCTTCCTGCTCTCTGGAGTCTGGGCTCTGGACTCTCTCTCTATTTAGTAGAGCCTTTGTCCGGACTTTGGGCCTCAGGTATTTTAAAATTTAATATATATATATATATATATATATAAATACAATGCAGTTATTGCAGTATGTGTAGCACAGACTTCTAAACAATCTTAAAAATTGCCTATATTTATATACATGAGGTAGACAGGTACATGGAAATACTCGGGAATATTTACATGCATACTTTGTAGATATTGAACATTGATAGGTATGTTTGTACTATATATCTATGCAAGTATCAAATATTAATAAGTACTTGTGTATGTGCTATATATCAATGCAAGTATCAAATACTAATATTCACTTTTGTGTATGTACTAAATATCGATGCACGTGTCAAACATTAATATTTTCGTATGTATGTACTTTGTATCTAAGCTTGTATCATAAATAAATATTTAATTATGTATGTACTATATTTCGGTGTATGTATCAAAAATATCATTTAATTATGTGTGTACTGTGTATCTATGCCTTTATCAATTAATAATACATACGTATATTCGTACTGTGAATCGATGCAAGTATGCAATATTAATACGTACTTATGTATGTACTATATATCGATGCTTGCATAAATTATCAATATTTACTTATGTATGTACTATTTATCGATGCATGTATCAAAAATCATTACGCACTTATGTGTGTACCGTATATCGATATGTGTCAAATTTTAATATTTACTTATGTATGCGCTATATGTCGATACATCTATCGAATATTAATATGTACTTATATATGTGTTATGTGCCGATACATGTATCAAATACTGATATGTATCCATGTATGCAATTTTTCATTGAGCGTCCATTTTATTTTGTAAACAAGCTGAAGGGCAGGTGGTTTTCATTGTGCACTAATGTAAATGTCGAGATTTACATGCACAAGGCAGGAAGATGCTAGGTATAAATTTTTGCACAAGGCATATTTTTTTCTCCTTATCGCTGTCGTACTAAGAAGTAGGCTAGAGGAAGGGCCTCATAAATACAACTTGCGCAGTTCATTCTTATTTTAGTGAGCGAGGGGCTTCAGACCCATGTATGTGTACATATATATGTACACATATACGTATGCTTGCAGTACAATAGAGAGCAATCAGATTCATTAATCAATGTATCAGTAAAAGAATACGAAGAATACTGGCACAACCAGCGTATTTACACCTTGTTTCAAATTCCAACAACAATAAGGGTCGTTGATCCCTTGGATTCTATTTCTTTTTTGAAGTTGTAAACAGCAGTACGAAGCTCGGGTTGCTCGCGACAAATGGCTGAAAAAACTCCCCGTTTCGCTTCTTATTACGTTTCCGTCAATCGGTATGCGGATTGGTTTTTAATTTGCGAACAGGCTATTCAAACTGCACCTATTTGCTCGTGATAACTATAGGTCATCGCCTTCTAGGTTGTGAAGGGGAGTAAATTCTCAGCACAGTATACAGTTCCGTTGCGATAGTATAAACCTGGCCAGGTAACAGACAGTGTAGACCATAGAGATATACAACAAAATAAGTATGCATCATCTGGGTGTCTCGCCAGAACAAATTGGGTGACTATTTAGCATCTTATCACATAATGTATCCATGCGCGAAGACCAGACCAGACCATCGATATATATATATATATATATATATATATATATATGCATATCCAGAAAATCTGTTTACTCGTCTTTGACGACATGCACCAACGTCGAACACTAGAGTTGTACAACAAAAAAAAGGTTTTATTATGTATTGATCATTTGGTTGTCTCGACATTAGTACGAATCTTTACACGTTCTTGTTAACGCGTTGATGTACACCTTCACGCAGATTTGGCCACATAGTTGTACAATAAGTTTTGTATATTTGGTAGTCTATATACACATAACATATATGATTGTATATGTCCGGAAGATTTGATGATTTACTCGTCCTTGTCGACGTGTTGGTGTACGCCTTCGCGCAAGTTCTTGGGGTGTAGATCGTCAACTGGGCAAGCGTCAGCGGGCGTGTGCGTTCCACGGGGTGACTTAGGCTCTTTGATGTGGGGATGCTCGACCTCCTTATCGGTGCTCAATGAACCTGTTAATTGATTAAGTAAAATTCTTTAAAATAGTATTCGACCAGGTATAGCAAATACTATATTCAAGTGAATCATGAACCTGTTAATTGATTAAGTAAAATTCTTTAAAATAGTATTCGACCAGATATAGCAAATACTATATTCAAGTGAATCAGCAGTCAGAGAATCTGTAGGTTAGTTACATATGCCAACCCTTGTTAAATACCTAACTTGTTTTTTGTTGAGTTGATTAGAAGCAAAACGGTGTACATTAGGTGACTAGATCACATTTTTCAAGAAAATCTAGCCCATATAATAGCGCATTTGAACTATAAGCCACTCAAGTGTTTAGAGAAAACTGGCAGGATCACATATAGCTGTACTTGTAGAAAGGCGCGAAAGTTCTAGGCAGTTTGCGTCAATAGTCATCATGTTATTGCAGTTCAATCAGACATGAGTCTAACAATTCACTTTCTACACAACAAAGCACATCGTCAAAGGCACAAATCACATCCGAGTTGGTCAAAGGCATTCACAGAAAACAAGGAAACTTGTCGTTCTTGAGCTTATAAAGTTCAGCAAACAGGACGACGTATTGGCGTTTGGTATACAACGAATGTTGAACTACGAGACTCTATGTGGCGCTTACCAGTGCGTAGGTTCTGAGGGTGAAGATCATCTACTTTCTGTGTAGTCATTTTGATGGTTCTACTTTTGTGTTTATTTATGGGAAACTGAGCATATGTAGCATGAAGATACGATATATGTATGTATGTGTATTTACATATTTGTTGTCCACAGTTTTTTTCTAACAAATGAGTCACAGACGTCACATTCCACAGTCACTCTATGGTGTTCTATTTACTGTAAAACTGTAAATAGACATTTGACATCAAAGCTTGACATCGTTGCTTCGTTTAGAGGTGGAGGTGGTAAGTTTGGTAACCATACGTCATACATGCGTTTAAAAATAGACTAGCGGTGTTTATGCGTATATTCGTGAATTTTAAAAGTGAGTATTGGTTTAAGGGGGAAAAACCTCAAGTAAATTGCTAGGGAATCGCCCGGTTTAAATGTCAAGGGTTTTTCTGGTGAGAAACCACAGCGGCACTGCGGCAGTCGACTTCTGAAGTTCTGGTGGGACTGGAGTACTGGATCACCGGAAGCCGGAAGGAACTGAAATCTCTAATCAGATTCATCTTAACAGAATGTCCAGAACTCCAGATCACAAGACATAACAACCAAGTCAGCAGTCACTGCAAAAATACGTTATGGGATGGTGCAGCCTATAAAATGGTATATTTAACCTACGATGAAAAATAATAGGACTATATGAGAAAATAGCTGTCTATATTGCACCTCAGAACCCAAATATTGCACCTCTTAAAAATAATGTTACTTACACGTTACAAGGCAAAACGTATTGCGGTTAGGCAATAGGCACAGTCATACAGTCACAAACAAGCATATCCTTCAAGAACATGTTACTTCATTATTCTGGCATGGATACTTCATGCGCTCTGAACGGCTGTACAATATTTATACTTTAAATTGTAGTTTGTGGTTTGAACTTCGAACTTGCTTCCTGCTTGCACGCTACATGTTTTCAAATGTTGGGCCGCTTCCAATAGCTAAATTCCAATTGAATTTTTATTTTCTTTAGCCTGCTATATATCCTTCCTTTCAGCCATGGTAGTATAGGTCTGTCTTCATTTGGCTCGTGCTGAAGTATCTATAAGTACAAGACGCAATAGTCCCGCCGTCGCATTTATCAACAAGAAAGAACAGTATGGGATTAAGTGAAGGATCAACTGTAAGCTGGAGCTGGGGCAACGGCACAGGAACGGGAACTATCAAAGAGGTTCACACAGAGAAAGTGACCAAGACGATCAAGGGTAGTGAAATCACCCGAAACGGAAGCGAAGACGACCCGGCTTACTTCATCGAACAGGATGATGGTAGTGAGGTATTAAAGGGGCACTCTGAGGTAGAGGAGGCATAGATATGTAGTATATGAGCCTCATTTTGAATACCGAGTGCAACACTCAGGTATATCCGGCTATCAGCACGTCCCATATAATGCGATAGGGATAATGTTACTGGTGCCTGTTTTTTGATTAGACCTGAGAAGCCTCGAAAAGGTGGCCTTAGTAGTTACATAGGCGAAATGAGGCTAATCGGACCTAAGTAAGTGGAAGAGAATACACAATATACTGATAGTAGCCTTCACAGATTAAAGTATATTAGCATACTACATGCAACCGGGAAGACAGGAAATATGTTTGACGCCCTCGTCTGTGATCGAGTCACACTCTAATTAAGATATTTGACCTGCTTGTACGTTTCTCTATACATTCAATTCGGTAATAGACTCTGCTAGTCTATGCTTTGTACCGCAAGTACGTAACTAACTGTTTAATCGGCTGTGCTAGTGTCTATGGAATGTCCAAGTACCAGAACCCGCTCATTTGAGTATGTGTATCCGTATCGCTGTAGGGCGTTTACCTGCGTTATTGTGAGACATACATACACCAGTGTCGGTTAGTGTACGACATATACGTCAAAACATTGTAAAATATACATGTACCTGAAACATTATAGAATATATAGCCAAAACATTGTAGAATATGTACCTGAAACATTGTAACATATATATGAAACATCGTACAATATATATCTAAAACATCGTAGAATACATTCCAAAAACATGTAGAATATATATCTAAATATCGCAGAATATATACCTAAAACATAGTATAATACAGACCTATAACATCGTAGAACATTTATCTATCACATCGTATAATACATAGACCTAAAACATTGTAGAATATATAGCTGAGATATGGTAGAATATATAACTCCCACATGAATAATCAGACAAATTGGGGGTGTGTCGCTCGTTTATTTATCGTTGTTGTTTTCAGCCATGCGTTCCACACAGCGAGCGTGTGTACACTGTTGTGTGTTCACCCCATTTGCAGGTGGTTGTTGTCTTTCGTGTGTACAATGTTGTGTGTTCACCCCATTTTCAGGTGGTTGTTTTCTTTCGTGTGTACAATGTTATGTGTTCACCTCATTTGCAGGTGGTTGTTGTCTTCAGTCTGCGTTTCTGGTCGTCGAGTTCGAAGTTGGCAATGCACAAGCCGAGGCGACTGGATGGGTGCAATACATATATGCAACCTAACCATGAGCTGCCCATGTTGAATGATAACGAGAAGCAGGTCTGTACACATACACTACACACTCTGTCGCAGTTGCAATGCGTACATCTCGCTTGCCGAACACGGTCGATTGGTGAGAGAGCCCTTCTATGACGCACACTCGATTCGACACGGTATAAGGTTTATATCGATACTTCATAAGTGACCACAGACTACTACCTGTGCCACTGTATTCAGCAGGATTACTGTTGTACAGTGATACGGACTATACGACAAGCGTGGGTTAGTGCTACACTGCCTTTTTTTGTAGAGTACACTTGTGGCTGGTTTCCGCTTGTACTGTTTAGTATATTAAGTTGCTATTCGACCAATCTCCGGCCTCCTTCTGCTTCCAATACTCACCCGTGAAGGCGTGTATCGGTCGTTCGGTATCTGGATCCATGCTGTTGTGAGGTGTGACAAACATTGCAAGAATCAGGAACAGTAGTGAGTTTTATCCGTGCCTGATATAATATACGACATAACTGCAAGAATCAGGAACAGTAGTGAGTATTATCCGTGCCTGATATAATATACGACATAACTGCAAGAATCAGGAACAGTAGTGAGTATTATCCGTGCCTGATTTAATATACGACATAACTGCACTGCAAAAATCAGGAACAGAACAGTAGTAAGTGAATGAGATTATCTCGTACTATGTGCACGTATGAGCGTTTGTATGTATACTATTAACGATAGTGTTTGCTCGACTGTCGTTGCTTATTCATGGGCTATACCAATATATCCTCATTGCACCCAGCTTTCCTCACGATAACTTACAGTACAACGGACTCTTAGTCCCTGCTAAAATGCGTAGCATTCAAGTACACATTATAAGTTCACAAGGGGTGGTATCTGACAGTACAAGGGTCTCTAACCCATAGATGGGAAACCCCTGCACAGCATCCTACAACACAGATCATTCGAGTACACATGAGAACTATACAGGGAATGATATCATACAGTATAAGGGCCTCTCACCCATAGATTACATCATAAACAACCAACCAAACAGACAGACAGACAGACAAACAACCAAACAAACCACACATGCATGGCTTGGCCTGAGGTATGGCCCTGTGTGTGTCATACGTTGGCTTGAACCAGGCGGGTGTGTAACTAATCCCTTGCTGCTCTCGGTACTTCCGTGTGGTCCGCTGCTTCTCTTCCAGTCGGAGCTTCTCGGCTTCCGCCAGGTCATACACTTGCGAGTCTAAAGCACGCTGTAGGAAGAAACACAGGAGAGAAGTACAACACAACTCGGTCAGCACTTGCACTCGTGGGGATGGACACTCTCGTCCACAGTCGAGCATACGCATGATACGATACAATAGTAGCTGAAGCTGGCAGAGATGAATACGTGA